CAGACTTACATTTGCGGCAAAAGTTTTTTCGAACACATGATTTGAATTTTTGGTATGCCCAATTCCCAGCTCAAGATCTTCGAATTGTTTCCAGTCATCAGGATTTTTCTTCACTAAATTATAAAAGAATATCTGTCAAGATACTAAAAGTAACAGTTCATTCAATAAGCAAAAAAAACTCGTCATTCCTTTGGTGTTCGTCATTCTCTATATACACACACTGCTAAGCAACAAAGACTAAAGCATTATTGTAAAACTCTGAACAGATGAAAAAGTATAAACAATTCCGTAGATAAAGCTGCTATGATACTCTTTTAAAATACTGCAGCAGCATGCCTCAGCTATTTTTGGCAGTAGTGCTTTCAGAAAATTCAGTAGAAAATTCGCGATAAGTGTGGCCCAACAGTTACCCATCTCTGCCTTTGATAATGAAAATAAAGATGTGAATAAACCTTCTGTGTAAAAACACCACAGTCGGGAAAACTTTTGTGGAAAACAAAAGTTCTAGTTTAAAACTTTCGAGGTTCTCTCAGTTAAATTATTAGGTATCAGCCTACACCATTCAAAAAAAATACGACCTCTCACTCTTTATCGAAACAATCACTGTAAAAATCCTCTAAAAACATTAAAGAAAAGCTTCAAAGCCCTGGCAAAAAAACCTGGCAAATAAAGAGTAAAAAAGCAAAACTTACGTTCTTTAAACAGATCAACGACATATGGAATTTTTTCAAAACTCAGTGTGACACCAGAAGCATCAAATATGACAGCTTTGAAGCCCATGTTCAATAAAAGCATCTGCTTCTTGCACCAATCTCGAGACGCATAAAATTTAATGCTTTTGCGCGCGTTTAAATAAGAAAGCCATCAAAAAAGCCTCTTTCGACCAGCAATTAAAAATTTTATGACCGTAAAACTGAAAATGATAGAACGAAAACGAAGTGATTCGATCGTCAACAAGATCTGAGCTTACCAAATAAAGCTTCCGTCCTAAATGACGGTGGATCTACAACAATATCACTACTCTAGCAAAAGTGATGTGCTAGCAACATAGCACGCAGGTCGACTGGCGGAAGCTTGTTCGTTTGATCGTTCAAAACACCGTCAACGTCCTCAGTGCCATCTACGAAAGTCGATCAAAAACAGATTCTCAGCTGGATACGCCAAATGGAAACATCATCACGCAGCCTGGTGTCCGCTTCCCTCTCTGCCCCATACTCTTCACTTTCGTGTGATAACAAATTGGAGGCGTTACATGCCGCAGTGTAATGGTCTAAGTCTGCAAAACTAAGTCTTCAACCCTGGTGGCTACTTCTTCCCAAGTTATTTTTAATCAGGGAGGCTGCTTGGGACTGTACTGCTTTCTCTTCACAAAGAGCTCTGTGGTCCAACGCTGCTGCTACAATCCTGAGGAGGCGTTTAGTCCAAGTTCTGAGGCCCTCCGACGATATCTTTATTATCGCCACCAAAAGCCGACCATAATCACTTATATATATACCTGTTTTTAATAGACCATAATTTCATGTGCAAACCCTTCGTCAGGTTTGGTGTTACAGCTAAATTTAATGTCTCATTAAATTAACCTCAGCAGTATCAGCTTCTCTATCTCCACTCCCCCGTAAACGGCAGTTCTGTGTTACCTCCGTCTCCCACAACCTTATAGTGATGCCTCATGCGTTAATCTTTATAGAAATTAAAAGACAGCAATTGTCAGAGCTATTAACATCAGGTAGATTTAAATTTCACCAACAACTGGTGCCAAAAACATTACCAAATCCAAATTTCAAAAAAATTTTCTCGGAAAAAGTTATTTTCTCCTGTAATTTATCCTCCACAACTGCTTATCGAACCGTTTTCAGTTAGGAATTTTCCTTTCGCCCTTCTGAAAGCCCTTTCAGCTTTATGAAGCTGTATTTGAATTTAACTCGTCGTTAGAGAGGTTTATTCTTCATAACAGGCACTTTTCAATTCGAGTCAACCCCGCCCACTTTTTCATTTCAACCAAACTGACAGTGCACCGGTGAGGAAGGGAGCACTAGATTTCAAAACTGGAAATTATACTAGAAAGGCTGTAACGTTGTTTTTGAAACATATAAGTTAATTCTGTCCCCACCTAATCCTTGACTGTTTGCTTGGATACTTCTTCATCAGCCAGAGACTCTTATAGCTCGCACTACATGCAAGTAAGCCACAATCTTGTCACATTTTCAAATCTATTGGACATTATCATTACTATTTCGGAATTCCTAAGCAAACAGGGGACCTGCCAATACAAGTGTGATTCTAAAGGAATAAGTGAGGCAAACGATGACCCATGCAATGAATAGATCAGCAGCAGCAGCAATTACCTACGGTCGAGGGATCTTAGAAGAACTTTTCAAGTCCGAATTTACTGAGATATTGCAAAAAAAGAAACTCAAGAAAAGGTGACCCAAATTTCACCTGCAATTGATGACAAAGAAACCACCAAACCCAAGTTCTAGAAAAACTGCTCAAAAAACCATACTAAAAACGCTTCTCTGTGAAAGAATGAAGTGTCGTTTGCGTCTAATACTTTTACTTTCCGCGTAAATTGTTGATAATGTTTGCAATTATCTGAAATGCCAGAATATCAAGAAAAAAAAAAAAAGAAAAAAGAAAAAAAAAAGCTAATATAAAAGTGAGTATTTGACTTATGATATGAAAAAATCATATATTAATTTATTTCTCTGAATCAAAATCAACATTTTTTTGTGATACCAATGAACAATCAAAGAATTCAAGAGACTGGGGAACTGGAGATCGTTGCAGCACTTGTTCAGTAAACTTGAAAGTCTTAACTGAGGTAGTATAAGCTATAATACATACATTCATGAGAGTTATATTCCAGCATCCGCCAACATAAGAAGAGTATCAAAGTATTTCAAAAAACAACAGAGAGTAAAATAACTTCTAAACGTTAGTGATGAAAACATTTCTTTACTTACTGCTACTGTTCCATCAAAATGACCTTTCTTTTTCACTAATTAGGCATAAATCTCTCACTTGTTAATATATGTACTTATCAATAAACTCAGAAGAGCATCAAAAAATGTTTTCACTTTCATTTAAAATATAAAATTAATAGCAATAACAATGGTCAGAAAACACTATGACTCAAAGCTATCACAGAAGAATGAATCTAAGGTCCACTACTGCTAAAATACGACTAATATAGTAAATTTCAGACTGACCTTCCAAAAACTGAATGATTATTATAATGCAAACAGTTGACATCACCAGAAAATTCTTTGTTTAAAAGCAAGGCGGTTTGAAGACACTTTAATGACAAGCCCGCGGATCTCCACCTCTCCTAGCGATCAATCCAATACTCTTTTTTAAATCAGGATCTAGATGGTATTCATCCGCAAGTTTTTCAAGTACCTTAAAGTTGTCATACCCAGCAAGAAACGCGTTGACTTTTGCAGCCAGAGTTGAAGAAACAAGTTGCTCATCGCTTAATCCTAACTGAAACTTTAGCCCGTACAAAGAAAGCGAATGAAAATCTTAAAACGGCAATAAACAACAGTTAAATAGAAGCAGAGACGCAGTATTTAAGAAAAATTATGGTCAAAAAGAAGTTCAGTACTTCGAAGAACCAGTACGCTTAAAATAGAGAGAACTCCCTTCCGAAAATAACGTGTAAACTAAAAAAAGGTACCCTTACTTTATTGTAGACCGCAGGCTGGCAACGTAGCCAATATTTCTGATGGTAATCTTCCGCCTGATAAAATTTATCCAACTGTACCAAACGCGTAAATACTACCCTTGGCGAAAATTTTCGCTAAAAGGTCAAATTTCTTTTAGAAAACCATATAAGGAAATAGCATTTCTTGCCATAGTGAAGGGACTCATCGATAGCAAGACTACTGTGGAGAGCTAGCATTTTCCGGCGGTTTTAAGAAAAAGTTCAGCCATATTCAGTGCTTCACCATATACAGAAGAAACAAAAGTGCGTAACAAACTACCTGAATTTGCTGTATGCTTTTTTCCGCAACTTTTTTCTGCTCTTCATCGGTGTAAAATATAACAGACTCATATTGTTTTTTAAATTTTTGAGTTGGGTCGTGGTGGCTCCAAAACCAATCCAAAATAGTTTCATAGGTTACTAGCCCATCGTCATATTGCACTTCAATTGTTTCTGAAACCGCTTACTGGTAATGCACAATACTGAGGTTCTTAAAAATATCAAATGTATGTATTGCTTTTTAAAAACTCTATGTCCGACCGATATGCAATTCTGAGCCAGCGCCAAACCACTAATACCGAAAAAAAAGACAATAACAAGTAACTTTAATTTAACCTGTGTGGTCACCAATGTCATAATATGATGGAGAAAGCTTTTTGCCTCCAGCATATCCAACTCGAGTTTTCATTATTCCGTCCACTTTAGCAAAAGATGACTCGCCCCAGAAGCACTGCATTCCCAAGTAAGCCTTCTTTAGAGCTGTCATATTCCGTAAATAAGAACTGTACGAAACCCACTAAAAACTCACGTCGGTCTCTATTCAAACTATTAATAGTTTGGTGAAACTTAATGCTTACGTAGATTACAATACAGTGAAACGATGAAAAGAGTTTGATTTTGACAACAGTTTAGATACTACTTCTGATAGCAATAGAAAACTATTTTTTGTTTAGGCAAAACAAAACCGTTGTTCCTCGCGAAGATTTTCCTTATCCCTGCAGATTAATCAACTCAATTCATGCTGTGTCTTACACGCATAATTTTCACAAATACCCTTGAATCTTAACGTAAATTTGATTCAAATTTAGAAGAAGACTATAGTATCAATAAAGCTATATGAATTTTACACCATCAGCTGTCTCAGCCTAATTGTGAATTTTCTGACCTTGGTACGATAAAGTTTGAAAAGAAAAACTGATCAGTGGTCCATTACTGTAATATAAGAAAACTTAACTAACCCTGATCTGACGAGAACCCCACAAGATACGGACTTCAAGAACTCCTCTGCACTTTCCAAGTTCCACAAAAATTCGAAAATTTATTTCCTCAAACAAATATACAGCGGTTTCCGGACAGAAGCTGTTGGCAAATATCCAACTTGTTGAATGTAGCTGCCGACTATCACTATTTCTGCAGGTAATTCCCGACATTTGCAGTTGTTCTTGGCGTTCGAAGGAGTGCACGTCAACGGTGAAGTTATAGGTGGCGAGTAAATTTGATGCTCTTAACTATCCCTTCTTCCAATACAGATCACTTCTGCTACAGTTTTTATAACGGTATCCTCGGCAAACTGACAGCAAACTAATGATTCCAGTAGCTGTCAGCTATTTGTGTGTTTGGATCAGTCTTTCAGCAGAAACTTCTAGACCAGCTTCCTCTGTTTTAAAATACCCGTGAACGTGTACGGAATTCAAATGTTTTTTAGTCGATTCGTTTTTTAGTGTTGGTTTTCGTGGGCCTGTGCAGTCCCTGAGCTGTGTTTTAAGGTTCATTTTCCTGTAGCAAAAACAAGTATTAGTGGTAAGCTTTGGAAGTATATGTAGCCAGATATCTGTAAAATGAAAACTTACCTTGCACTTTCTGGTATCTTTTTCGTTACCGCTCTTAAGGTGTTGTCTCGTAAATAACCGTAGGTGTTGCAAAGAAAACTTGACTGCAAAGCGCGAACCAGAAATCCGTATCGTTAGAGCGCATTTGGAACTGCCTTGTCAAATAGTTCATGTCCTTAAAACCTTTCTGTAAAGTTTTTTAAAGTATATTACAACAAAAGACATCAGAAGCTTCATTAGGTTTTTACTTTTTATTCGCCAAAACCAGTACTCATTCTTAAAGGCATTTCCACCATACAGCCCCTGCAAGTTTAAAAAAACCTAGTTGTTTTTAACGTGACCTCCACATTCATTAATCCCTCATCACAGTTTTCTCGTTACTGTCTATGCTGTATCTCATGATGATAACGTGTATGTCAATCGTACCCGTCCTCTAAGTGAAAACTAGACGAACTGTACCCGTATTATAAGTGAAGACGTCATTGGTTCAAAGTGGAAC